TTTTTTTTTTTTTCTTTTTTGTTATTTTATTTTTAAAAAAAATTTGTGGCAAATTTGTGTAATTTTAAAAAATTGACAATAAATTGCGCAGATATGCCAACAACTTTGATGTTTAAACAGATAATCGTCTAAAAATATTAACGTTTTTTTTGCATAACAGTTTCTTTTTGAATATTTTACCTGTTTTGAGTTACGGTAACAGAATAATTCTTGTTGAACTATAGAAAAAAGTTTTTTTTTGGATTATCAGGTGTCAATTTTTAGCATTTATTATTGTCTTTCTTTTTTTTTTTTTATGGTCGAAGGTGATGCTTTAAATACAGTAATTTTGCATCCAATATTTCAGCAATAAAAAAAAAAAAAACAAAAAACTAGACGGATTAAGATGAACAAAACAACAGACAGTAACTTTTACAGTGTCTATAAATTTTTTTTGTTTTTGTTTTGTCACCTCAAAAAAAACCATTATTGTTTTTGGTCTATGATTTGAATACAATATTTATTGTTCAATTTTGAACCCTCACAACAACACTTCAATGGTTTATCAGCTGACAAATGCACTGAAGTTGGTTCATTGCAACTCATTAGAAAGTCAGTGGTTTTTGGTATAACAAAAACCTAATTAACCCATGAAATAAATGATTCTTAACGCCTTATTTAAATTATACTTAACAGAAGTATCAACAGTTTTTTTTTTACCTTTTTTTCTTTTTCTTTTCTGCATAAAAAAAGCACCAGTAAAATACTAGTTGGAAGAAAATTTAGAAGCAAGGAACAACAACAACTGCAGCAGCAGCAGCAACAAGAACTGCTCTATTAGAACAAAATATTGACCTGTTATAAAAAATTTTATATTCTTTTAAAGCTACGATTAATCTGAATACCAGAAGAACCGTATGAATACAATCTTACTAGACCGAAACCTGAGCGAACATTGCACTGGTACATTTTTGTTTTTCTCCTTTGTCTACTATGAAACATTTTTCTCGTCTTTACTATTAAACTCTTTTAAAATATATTTTTGTTTTGAGAAAGTTTGTTTTATTTTAAAATTTGTTTTGGAATAATTATGTCAAAAAAACTGCGAGGATTAGAAGGTAAAAAAAAAAAGAACTGTGAAAATTGTAATTGAGTTAAATTCCTGAGAATATGCTCAAAACTCTCATCAGAACCACATAAACTAAAAAATTTTCCCTTCTTATTTAAAATTTGTTGATAAGTGAAAATTGGTTAAGTTTTTATAAAACAGCAAAATTTTTATGTGCTATATGGGCGTCTGATTTGACGCAGTTGCAAAGGGTACCGGTAAACATCACAGGAATTTTTGGCGATAAACTGCTGGACAATGGCCGAGGGTTGGGCCTCTTCTTCTATTGTTCCGTATTTAATTATAACGGGCACTGTCGCCCAAACACTGAGGACTATTGGACGCTTTGGTCACACCAGTATTCCCATCTTTTCAGCTTTCAGATCCCACAGTCGGTCCTGGGAACATGGCTTCCTAAAACAGTTAGTTTACTGCTCTTTGGTTTTCCGCCAGTGTATATAAACTGTTTTTGAGATTCATTAATGATAGACATTTGTTGTCTGGATTGCCATGCAGACAATTTTTTTTTCAGATTTTAACATATTTTTCGCTATGGCTGTTGCTGTCTTGGTCTCCAAGGATTATTTAGTGTGGTTTTCAGCATAATTCTTTTTTCTAACCTCTTCTAAACTTGAGTTTTGTTCAACTGTTTTTACTGTGTTAAATAAAAGTTGAGCTATGAACTTTAAGAAAACTTAAATGGCACTATAACTAAACTTACGGTCTACAACTTTTGTTTTCCTCAATGTTAATGATGTATTAAGCATGTAAAAAATTTCAACATTTTGTTATATGCTGCATCTAGTTTTTGTATCTGATTAAAAAACCCTCTTTTTTTTTCTTCCATTTTTTCCGCGATTTTATGTTCGTAGTTTTATCATGATTTAAGTTAATTAAAGTTCTATTTGGTAAAATAAATACTGATAAGAATCATGATTGTATATAATTGAAAAAAAAAAAAAAAAACTAGATTTCGGTCCAACATAAACGAAAAAGGAGGAAAAAAAAAAGAAAACAAAGTAAGTTGGAAATATTGAACAACTAAATTGGCACCGAAGTGCTAAATGAATTGGATAAAAAGAAGTAATGTTTTTGTTGTTTTTTTTACAAGATGACCAGATGTGTCAGTTTCAAAGATATGCAATTACCGCAACGGTTTTTGACCGATGAAAACAGTTGAGCATAGATATCAGTAAACGGTATCTAACCTCAGTTTTCAGTTCCTTAAATTGGATATAACAGATGAGAGGTGCGGATGAGGGGGGAGAGGAGCGATGAGGGACGGAGGAGAAGGAGGAAAGAGGAGGAGCGATGGTTTCGTAAGTATTACCATTTGATTGATGCCACTATACTTTCTCCTTTTCGCTGATCACCCTCATTTATTTCCAATAATCAAATACAAAAAAAAAAAAATCATTATTTTTTTTTTCTGATCTTATCGATTCTATTAACTTTTTTTTTTCTGTTTGTTTGTTTGTGGAAAACAATTTATTTATTGATATTAACTGTTTGCTTATTTAGTTTTTTATTCGTTTTACTCTAATGATCGCTTATAATACAGTTTTCTTCGAGTTTTTTTTTGAACCATATTTAACTTTTGAAAACTTTAAATTAGTAATCGCCTTTTTTTAACTCTTTTTTTTCGACAATTTTATTGAAAAATCGAATGAAATATTTTTTGCTTTTCGCTTTGCTGCATTTTTTTTTTCTATTGCTATGGTTATATTCGACAGAAAAGATAGCATCGAAAGCATTTATTTGTTGAATGCAGAAGAAAAGAGAAAATTTTTTTTTTTTTTTTGCTGTAATAGGATTGTTTGCCATTTTTCAATAGGACGAATATTAAGCCGTATATTATCAAAAATGACTGTACCGTTTTTCTTCTGCTATATCCGCTTATATCCGCTTATGTGACGGATTTTGTTTCTTATATTTTTTCTTTACCAATAAATTAGGATTAATCAGACGGTAAAGAAGTAGAAAAAAAAAAGAAATGTAAAAAAGGAAAAAGGAAGAAAAAAGTGTTGAAATGGCCGAAGAAATATCACAGTTTTTGTTCTTCGGTTGTTGGCAAATTTTTATACACTTACAGAGGACACTGAGTTGATGATGGATGATTTTGTCACTCGAAAGGCCTTTGCCTGTATTCACTCAAACATCTAAGGTTTGCCTTTCATGTGACAGATCATTGTTGTTTTTGTCTGTTAATGCTACTGCTGCCGCTGCTGCTGCTGATGATGACGATGATGATGGTTTGTATAATCAGTTGAAACTAAAATTTATTTATTTATTTATTTTCAGTGAAAACAACCACAAAAAAAAGTTTTTCAATTGATGGAATCAACAACAATGTATATTGCAAAAATTTATTTGATTCTGTTGTCCACATTAATCCATATTGCTGGATGTATCGACGACAAATTTTGGTTAACAACCGAACTGATGAGATTTGAGTGGAGTAGAGGCTGTACGGCAACCAAGTATTGCACTCGACCACAACTTCGTCTAACTGAACAAAATTTAATTAATGGTGAAACTCTGGCTGTAAACTGGTTATTTTCCGAGGATGTTGTTACAGTAAATAAATTATTTTT